TCCCGCGCTATGGTTAGATCCCATGCAATGATCTTGTACTTAAAATAATCTTAAGTACAAGAGCATCGCACAGGACCTGATTATAGCACGAAACGCAACCAAAATTTCGCAAATCTGCGTTACCCACTTAGCAAAATGTGCAAATTGGCTACGTAGTTCAATGTCCACGTTTTCAATGTCCACAGAGGGCGTATCGCATTCGCGTATCACGAAAAACGGGGCCGTGACATCTCTCTCAGGCTTCTCTCTGCATGCACATAGCACGGAACACAACCAAAACGCGCACATCCGCGTTATCCGCTTAGCCCAAACGTGGACATTGGCTACGTAGTTCATGTCCACGTCTTCCAATGTCCACAGAGGGCGGTATTGCATTCGCCAATGACGAAAAACGGATGCCGTGGCAGCTCTCAGGCCGTATTCACAGTCCGTTCTTAAATTTAAGATCGTCTTAAGTGTTTTTAACCAATCGCAGAGCCGTATTAGCCTCTTAAGACAACACTTAAGATGATATTGAAATAAGAATTAATCGACTATGAATACCGGCCACAGACGTCAACTATACGTCCGTTACGCTCGGTAATGTTTTACGCTCGATAACGATGGTTTGCGTCCGTGCTATGGTTTATATCTGAACTACTCAAATGGAAAATAGTTGACATAAGTGTCAGATGAGACAAACAGATGAATCAATTAATCGTTCTTTGTATTATTCGGAAAAGGAATCTTAGAGATAACTTGAGGCAATATTAATAAATGAACATACACATACACATTAAAAGTCTCGAGTATCAAGAAATGTTCTATTCAGCAGCCAATCGACACGCTTGAAAAATTTGCGACAAATGTAATATTAGCCCCAGGCTGCAGTGCAACGGATTACCGAGAGAGGTTTCGTAATGACGCGGCGTTCCCGCCACCGGAAGTGATCGGGCCGCGCGCTTGGGCTTGGGCTGCGCGCGCAGCCGCGGCGAGACGAGAAGGGGCAAGCGGGCGTATTTAGCCGAGAGAATGCGAACATTGCGGGCGGACGGCGCGACATTTGGTCGCAAAACAGGCCGCGTAATTAATTTTTCGGCGCCGCCTCGCCCCCCGCCGGGCGCTCGCGGCCTAACGGTCCGATGCCGCGGACGCCGATTCGGCGATGCCCCGCGCGCGTAAGTTCCTGCGGGGTGGGCGAGGGGCCGCCATGACAGTCGTCGTATTTTCTGTTAACCGCGAGCACGTAGGGGCCTCGCCGGCAACGTTCCCGTGAGATTCCCGCGCGGCCTGACGTCCGTCGCGACCGAAAGCGGCCGTCCCGCGTCCCGGCCTCGTCGGGCTGGCCGTCGCGGCTGTCGAGGAGACGGTGGGCGAGGACGCGTGGCCATTATCGGAGATTTGCTTGTGGGCGCGAGTGGCGCGGTGAGACGTCGGGAGAGGCGGCGCGGCGCGACAGGCGGCCTGCGCCTCTCCGCCCCTCTCCTCCGCGAGCCCTGCCTCTCCCCGCGCTTTCGGGACGGGCGCGCGTCTCTCCCCCGTGCGCGCGTGTGTGTTGTGGCAGAGGAGGCGAGGAGGAGGCGGCCCCGGAGCCGACGGAGAAACGAGATGCGAGAACCGCCGACGGCACCGCGCACCACGTGAGTTCTAAGCTTGTCCGCTTGTCCTAATCGCCACCCGGGAGCTCGGGCCGTGCCGCGTTGCGCCGCGGCGCGCCGCTCCGCGCCACACCGCGCGTCCATATCCCCCTCGCCCCGAGTCCGCGTAGCACGTCCATCTTGTTGGCCCCTTGTCCCCGTTGCTTTCTGCCCGACGACGGAGCGAAGGCGCGAACGAGCGCGAGCGAGCGCGGCCGGCCGACGGCGACACCGACGTCGCGCTCGACGTCGTAGAACGATGCTCGGCCCGGCCGCCGTCGCCGCCGCCGCCGCGGCCGGCGCCGCGCGCTGGCACGCGCCCGTTCGTTTCTCCGTCGCGGCTGTTCCGGCGGCCGCGCCATTAGAGACACCCGTCTCCGTCTCCATTCCCGATCCCGCGCGCCTTCCGCGTCTCGTCTCTTCTCCCTCGCTCCCGCGCCCGCGGCGACGTCGGCCACGATTTTACTTTAACCGCGGGAAAAAGGGTGAGGAGAGAGAGAGAGAGACGAGAAAGCGGTCGCGCGGCTCGAGGGACCGGAGTCTTTCATCTCGTGTCGTGTCGTGTCGCGTCGCACGGCGCCGCGCGACGCGGCATGGCGCGCACCAAAGGATGACTCACCCTTTCCCGCTCGCGGCCGAGCGAGCGAGCCCGCCGCCGCCGCGAGGTTAAAATCGCGGCCGCGCGTCGACGCGGCCTACCTTCTCGCCCGTCATCGTCATCGTCATTGTCACGTAGTCGTCACGAATGGCGCCTTCCCGCTCTCGCGGCGCCCGCTCGCTCGCTCGGCGCGAATGTTTACGCGGACTCGAGCGCGATCGCGCGCGCGGCTGCCCGCGCCAGCAGCCCGTCGCCTTCGTGGCACGGCTGACTTTTCGAGGTTAAACGGACGGTAGCGTCGCTACGCCAAGTAGGTCCTCTAATGGCGCAACGGCCGCCGCCGCCGCGTATCGGCGTACACGGACTCCGGCCACCAAGAGTCCACGTACTCGCCCGAGACGCACGCGGGAGGACCGGAGCGCAATATGGTGCGCGCTTTGATACCGTTGTCGAGCCGCCGCCAGGTTTTCCTGCCGTTACCAAAGTCGTTACAGGCCCGATACCGCCTGCCGTTGCGCATTGTATCGTGTTTTAATTAGCGCCGCTCTTCGCGCGCCGATCGTGGGCCCGTTCGTCGCGGCCCGACGCTTTTCACGCCCGACGTCGGTTCCTTCAGCCCCGAGCCTCGGCCGCCGCCGAGCAAAGAACGCTCTCGCACGTGCCTCCGCTCGACTCCCTCGCTTAGTTAGTTACTTCTCTGAAACGCGAAGCGATTCCTCCCGCCCGCCCGCTCGCCCCCTCCCCCCCCTTTTCTGAGAGAATTAACCTTACATAATGCATTTTGCAGGATGAGAAATGAAGTATCTCAGACACGTTTAATTAATATTCTTCAGTGAGCGAAGATGAATAGTGAGCAGCATGCATTGCCAGCGACTACGCAGGCACAACAAGAGGTGAGGTACCTTCCAGTCGCACAAAACAGGCTATACACCAAACTACAAATGCGCAAATGACGATTACACAGATGCACCGTGCTGACGTTTAGATATATTGAGACATTTGTATAATGCCGGGGGCTTTGTTTCTTAATTTTACGGATCGTTTCACTTTCAGTCTGCCGTAACGAATTGTGTGTCACGTGCCAGATACTAGATTTCTGATCTCACAAGCCTCTTGTGCGAAGCTCACACGACGTTCAGTTGTCGTTTCGACGCAACGCCTACGTTCATTGTCCTTTATCTACGATAAAAGCCTCTAGAGTAGATATATATATATATACTTTTGCGCGGTTACACGAGTCAAACTGCTGCGATCTATGGTTCTTAGATTAGAAATGCTTGTAGCGAACATACATCTATACATTTAAGATGGCTTACGCTTTCTTCTCTACTCTTCTTTACTCTGATATGTTTGCTTCTCCCGTTTTCTTCGTACGTAATATACTTAACGTATCGAGCTCTAACAGATTGCATGTGTTTACAAGTTTGAATTCCGAGTGTCCCATCACGGTCACCTCGTACGGCCTGACACAGGTGTGGATACAGAGCGTTTTTTTCCCTCAAGGTTCACATTCTGTATATAACACAGAAACACCACTGACTCTCCGGTAGAGCAAACTCTTCGATAACGAATATCCGTGGAATCCATCGTGTCGTACTAGAGGGAGAGAAAGAGAGTGAGTGAGTGAGCGAGTGAGCGAGAGAAGGAGAAAGAGGAAGGGAAGGAGGGGAAGAGAGAGAGAGTGTGCGAGAGAGACACGTGTCAAAAGTGGCGCATTTGTCGATTGGATTTCAGCCTGGTGCATGCCGCTGCATGCCCTATCAATGTTGTACAAATGTCTGAATGTATATCGGTAGGATGTAAACGCGGGTCAAAGTGGTCGTCCTTCATACCCAGGTGGTTTGGCTACTGCGACCGCGAGTCTTGGCAATGTAGGGAGTACTCCCCATTCATCCGCGGACCTGCGTGTAGGTACTGCCGTAGCGTTAGCCTCCTCGGTAGCCTCCTCGGTAGCTAAGTATTGGGTCCTCACCAATCTGTTTCCTCCCGGACCGCTACCTCAAGTCTCGGTCTACCACCATTCCCACCACAACTCCTCGCATAGGAGTGGTGGCGGTGGGGAGGCATCATCCTCCAAAGAGCCAGCCTCTTCACTGAACCAGGAAATGGCGTTGACTTCCAGCTCGCATCATCAGCAACAGTCAACAGCCGCGCATCATCATCACCAGCCTTCAGTTAGCAGCAGCAGCAGCCACCACAGTTCCCTGCAGTCGAATCCACAGGTTTGTTAATGTGTAGCGGCACGTGTTTTGTGTAACGACAACAAATCACCCTTGAATGCGGCTTACAGATTACTCCGGTCTGGAGTAAGTTAGAGACTTACGCTTTTGCAGGAGTTGCGGTAACGCGCACCGTTCTATTTCTTTTCGTTTTTTTCCCCCCCCCATGGGGGTGCGTGTGGCGGCGCATACGTAGGTGCACAACTGTACAGGCAACTGTAACGGTCGAAACAAAGTGCTCAGATAATGGGCACTTGTATCTCGCTTAAATTTCCATCTCTTTCGTAAATCTTATCGAGACCTTCGCCGCGGGATACATATTCCGTTCTGTACAGTTCATCATTTTACAAAGCTACTTTTTACATATTAGTTATCACTCCACTTGTCACACACAATAGTGCGTTATGCGTTTGCAGATTAGACTTATTATTTAGGACTTAATGGAGAATGCCCGAAAGATTATGCATTATTAATGTATCGAAAAAGTCAGGCGCAAGTTTAATCCTGTAAGAGCTGCTTATTTAGAACTCTCGAGTCCTAATCGCACAAGCAAAGTGTATCGTATAATTATATATAATTGTAAGTATTACGCTTTGTTACATGGGCATCGTTTTGTGTGTGTTCGGCAGATTCCTGTATCTCTTCCCGGCCTTAATTTAGACGGCGCACATATACCAACGAGTGTTAGTCATCTGGCTGCACATGCACAAATGCAACAACAGATGCAGGCGCAAGCACAGCAGCAGCTGCACCAGCAGCAACAGCCGCAGCAACAGCAGCAGCAGTCTCATCACCAGATGCCGAATCATCAGAACGCTCAGAATAATGGGCCGACGGCGCACAACCAGAACGCGCAGCGAGACGACAACAAAGTGAAGGACGAGGGCGGTAGTTGCACTACCGAGCGTTGCAGCGACAATCAGGTTCACTGTCAAGTTCAATGTGATCTGCAATTACAACCTCCTCAAGATCTTCAACAGAGCTTGATGCAACAGCAGCAGCAGCAACAGCAGCAGCAGCAGCAACAGCAGCAGATCGGGGTCAATATCAGCGGTAACTCCACTAGTGAGGGAGGAGGCCAGAACAACTCCGAGAAACCCGAGAAGGAGAAGGAATTGCGGCAACTGAACATGACCCAGTATGTACCTTAACTGTTTTTTATTTTATCCTTATTGATGCTGGAAAAATACAACAATGCCGTTTCCGTAGATTCCAAGTCCCCGACTTGAAACCAGGCGGACACATGATGGACGTGAGAACAGCGGACGGATCGGTTGTCAAAATCAGCGCAGGAAACGAACAAGACTTGGCCAAGACTCTCGGCGTCGAAATGGTACAAAATATGTACAAGGTACGCGATATCCGTGGAAAACCAGTCGTAGTAATTATATCTAAGAATGTTAAGAATGTACGAGTGTTGCATTTTCTTTCAATCGACAGGTTAATGTTGAAGATATTAACCAACTCTTGGCGTATCACGAGGTCTTTGGAAAGCTGCAGAGTGAGATTGCAGCTGGGACGACTTTAGTAGGCAGCACTGTACCTACGCAGACAGTTACCACGATACAAAATGGCACGCCAATCGTGCAGCAGGTCCAACTGAACAAATTTGACATAAAGTCGAGCGACGGCGAAGCAACGCCCGGCCCGAGCGCGTCGCCCGTGTCGGTTGGCAGCCACGCTTGCGAGATATGCGGAAAGATCTTCCAGTTTCGTTATCAACTCATTGTACATCGCAGATATCACACCGAGAGAAAACCATTCACGTGTCAGGTATACAACGCGCGGTGAATCTTTTGTGTGTGTGTGTGTGTGTGTGTGTGTGTGTGTGTGTGCTGCGATTTATTCCAAATCACACAGATCTGTACTCATATGTGTAATAATTTCAGGTATGCGGCAAAGCGTTCTCGAATGCGAACGATCTAACACGTCACGGCAAGTGTCATCTGGGTGGGTCCATGTTCACCTGCACCGTTTGCTTTCACGTATTTGCAAATGCGCCCTCGCTAGAACGTCATATGAAGAGACACGCCACCGACAAACCGTACAATTGCACGGTCTGCGGTAAGAGTTTCGCGCGCAAGGAACACTTGGATAATCACACGAGATGTCATACTGGCGAGACGCCATACAGGTAGGTCTTTATTTACTCGTAATACGTCCAGACGCCAAGTACGATGATTGGAGGCTAGTGAATAAATGTAGCAAATGACAACGATTTCTCAATAAAATTAATAATTATTTGTACGCTAATATATGCCAATATTAAAAATTGTATGGTTTTGGAGTTAACAAAGGAATATGATTCTTGCAGATGCCAATATTGTTCAAAGACATTTACCCGAAAAGAACATATGGTAAATCACGTTCGTAAACACACTGGTGAGACTCCACATCGATGTGATATTTGCAAGAAGAGCTTCACTCGCAAAGAACACTTTATGAACCATGTTATGTGGCATACAGGAGAAACCCCTCATCATTGCCAAGCTTGTGGCAAGAAGTATACGCGTAAAGAACATCTCGCTAACCATATGCGCTCGCACACAAACGACACGCCGTTCCGTTGTGAAATATGCGGTAAGTAGTCTAGTCTTCATATTTTTCTGCCCATAACGTAAGTTTGGACGTTAATTCGCACGAACAAGAAAGGTTTCTATTACCAGTAAAGATATAAAAATTGATGGGACGATTCCAGAAGCTTTCTGAATTGACGATCGCTGTCTTTAAAATTTCCCACGAGGTCGGTATTTTCTAAATTGAAAGAAACTTGATTGGTGTTTCAAAAAATTTTAACGAATAAAAACAAACTGATTAAAGTAAAGCAATATATGAGTTAGCAATCGCCAATATATGCATTCAAATCATCGGCAATGTTGAAAATGACATTTGAACTTTTCCCAATTTTTATTTGGTACTTTAACCGAGATATAGATGATTTTTATAGTCATTTGTATCGCGGTTGAAACGAGAGCAAGTTCGACATTTCTCAACATTATTGACGAAACTTGAGTGTATTGCAGAGATATCTGCGATTGAGATTTCGTATTGACTCTTAGCCATTCAGGTCGTAATTTCCACTCCACAAAAGTAACACGTTTGCGTTCGACATAAAATGAACGGTTCGTTATGTAACATAAAAGACCGATCGTGAATTATTTCACAGTTGTAAAAATGTATTACCGAATGACTATCGATACAATATTGTCGCCAAATACTTTATTACGAAAAACGAATGTGCGATACGATCAATGAGATCATTGAGATCGATGTAGATTTTGTGAAATGTGAAGCATAACAAGGTAAGTATGATATTTAATAATACATTATTCGACAAAACACTATTCATATCATTAATTTTTAATTATTAGTCAAGTGTAAATATAAAAAGTTTTTCTCAAGAGAAGATTATTTGAGCATTTCAATTAGAAGCTTTAGACAGATTCTACCCTAGAAATCTACACCAAATTCCACAGTTTTCCGATTTGTGGAATTTTTTACATGTCTCTATTCGTGCCATGGAATGTTTAATTATATTTGCAAAGTTAAAGTGCAATTAGATTACGATCTTGTGAGACTTGTCGAATTAGAATTTAATCCTTTTATATTGTGTCAGAAAACGTAGAGTTCTAGGGTTTAAGCGACTGAAATAAATAATTCACCATAAACTTTTACAACTATATATCAGATTCAATAAACATACTTTTTATGATTTTTATATAATATGAAGAATATTAGCGCTTTTTACTTTACGTTTGCGTTGAAAAAACTGATACAGTGTGTACATTTTTTCAGAGAACGCATTGTAAGCATCGAAGTGCTGAGATTTCTTTTATTGCTGTGTATATATTGTTTTGCAAATTACCCGAAACTGATCATACTTGAATACATCTATTATCTAACGTTAGATAATAAAACATTTCGTTATAGAGATGCACAATCCACTCCTAATAAATTCACGTAAGATTGCAACATTGCATAAACGTTGTACAGTGTAGCTGCAAGATTGCAGCATCATTAAATTGTCAGCTTTCAGAAAAGTACTACGTAACATTGCAGTATAATATGCAATATTACTTTAGGTTGTACACAAGTCGACATAACAGCTTTAATAAACTTTAGTACAGAAGTAACATTTCTGGAACTCGAGGATTTCTTATGGAAAGTTTTGGAATGGTATTATTTAACGTATCAAAACTAATGTGCCAAGTTACGTATTCGAGCATTAAAAGCATCAATTTTTGTCGTTCAAAATATTATAGAGAAAAGTTCCTCATTATGAGACAGCATATAATGTTCTGATGTGAGATGGCAGGTCTTCAACGTCCAAATTCAATCGCAAATGTTTTCTCGCGACGATTACACGATCTAACAATCCATTTTCCACTAAACAGATTTCACTTCAGGCGCAATAAATTCATGGTGAAACCAATGGATGATTGTTAATTTAACAGCGACCCCCGCTATCTCGTATTAGGAACTTGTCTCATAATAGGGGACTTTCCTGTATATATAATAATTTTTTACGTTTTATAAATTGGAGGAAAATTGTATTCAAACGTAATACATCAAGGCTTTTCTCGTTACTGTTATACAGAGAGATTCAAAAGATTGTTCGCAATATTTTTCAAATGTCACTGTAACATTGTGCCAATTGCATACAAAGTTTCTGCAACCGCGCTGTACAATATTGCAACGTTACTGCAATGTAGCTGCCAAAGTGTCTACGCTGTACGAATAATATCTACAATTTGGCATAAAATTAATATGACTTTATCTATCTGTTAATAGATTCGTGTCTAGTTAAAAAAAAAATTGCTGCACGAGTCACACGTGTCCAAAATCATCAAACACACTTGAATCTCCTTGCGACCGATTTTAGCAAGAATTTCACGACTCGTGCCAGAAGAGATCTAATCGTTTCGAGCGAGGACCAGGGAGACTTGTGCATCTCCGAAATCTTCGAGCTTATCACGAGCGTCCCTTTGCGCCCGCGAACGATTTCCTCGACTCGTAAAAGGAAAAAAAAAAGCAGAAGAGAGAAATCAACGCTGCCGCGGACCGGCGTCGGCGTAGACGCGCGCGATCGATGAGATTTGACAAGTATGTCTCTCTCTCAAATCGAGCGCGCGCTTGGTAACGCGAGCGGATGCGGCGCGGACGCGGACCGGGAGTTACGTCGAACGCACTCTGTGCGCGCGTGCATACACACGTACTGCACGTGCACGCGCACGTGTGTACGTGTATGTGTGCTCAGCCGCAGCCGCTGCCGCGGCGGTGAAATAAAATTCGCGAGAATTGATCGCGCATCGCGAGTAAGCCGCCCCCCTCCCTCGCCCGGTCGGTCGGCCGGCTCCCGCGGAGCGCGGGTCGTGCGCATTCCTTCGCGGTGGCGCGGAGGCGAGGAGGCGCCCCTCTAAACCTTAGAGAGTCGCGTCGGTGCGCTTGCCCTCGCCCGCCCGCCCGCCCGGCCGCCCCGACGGCGACGGCGACGGGGGAAACCCCTTTCTTCCTTCCTCAGTCCTCGGGAATCGCGCGAGGCTCCAACCCGCCGGCCGGCTATCCATAAGGGGCCCTTTATTTCTCACCCACCGTCTGGCCGCGAACTGTGATGGCATGACTTGCTATTTCGTAAATTTAAGCGGTTCGTACGAGGTTTTCTCCCCCGCTGCCTTGCCCCTCGTTCGCACGTTAATTCGCTCGCGTGTCGACCTCCCGGGCCGCTTCCCCGACGCGGATCACGTTTTGCGTGTGCCATTTTGATCGGCGACGCGTCGAAATTAATTCCGCCGTCGCCGCGGCTTTTCAAGCGTGTGCCAGGACGCCGCGTTGGTCCTCGCCGGGTTCCTCGCGCGGCGTCGGAGAACGAGTCTGACCGCGCCGCGGCGACTTCGTTGCCCTCGTCCGCAAAGTGTCTCGTGCCGTTTAATCGCTGTGTTAACCGAGAAGGGAAAAATAATCCTCGACGCCGCACGGCGGAGCCCGTCGATTTTCATGTCGCGAATGTCGCAACGCATTGGATTATCTTGGCTCTGCAAAATGCACCGGTCCAAGACGACTGCGTGCCGAGGCAGCGATTGGTTAATTGCGCTTAGTGTTGATCGCACTCGTCGGTGATACCCTCGCGCTGTCGCGAGGCCGGCTGGAGCGCGGAGATTCCTGCGTCCGCGAAGTGTGGCGAATTCGAAATTTGTATTTTCGTTCGACGGGGCCGCAAGCATGCGCGCCGATCTATACATGTCACGTGACACGTGTATACGTACAACGCGCGCGTTGACCGCGGTCCGACGTTCGTTTTTCAAAATGGGGAAATCCCCCGCGCACGACACCGCGGGGCGAACCCCGTTCCGCGCGCGGAAAAAAGAACGGTTTTGCTTCACCCCGCTCTCCACCAACGTCGTTTAAACCCACCACTGCCTGGTCGACCAGGACGACGACGACAAAGACGACAAAGATCATAAAGACGTTTCTTAATAATCGAGACATCGAGAAAATTTAGCACCTCGGACTTTGCATTGCAATATCTCCACTCATGGGGCACGCGGGAGAAAAATAAAAACACTTTTATTATGCAAATCGAACCCAAGCTATCGATTGAGTGCACTTAGAAGTCCGTCGGATCAGCCGTTGTTGAGGTCCAAAAATCTGAGGGCCCGTCAACTCGCGTAAACTACACGGTCGGTCTCGCGCGCGCGGTTCTAGTTACGCTT